TTAAAAAAAAAAAAAAGAAAACTCCTGAGGAGCCTGCAGGACATTCAGGGGAGCAGGCAGTGCCCTGTGGTGCTTTTGCTTAGGAAAAAAAAATCAAAGGGTTTTGTTTTAAGAGCAATGCAAACGCTGGATCCTTTAGCTGGTGGCATCTGGCCCAGCTCCTCCGGCATCCCCGGATCCCCACGGATCCCTCGCAGATCCCGTCCCGTGGCCGTGGGGGAAGGATTCACACACCGCTCCAGCGCGTTCGAGGGAACTGAGCCGTCTCAAACCCGGTGTCGAGAGCACAAAGTGTTTTCCTCCGGCCAAATCCGGCACAGGAAGCACAGTCCCTGGGTTCTCATTAAGCAGCCGCTCTTATTAAGCAAGTCCAGATTAGCCGTGTTTACCCTCCGTGAACTGCCCCCCCTCTGCGTTATTGTTCAGCCTCCGAGCGATGATGGGCACGGAGATGCAGCCATTTACAGGAACAGCAAAGACACCAAAAAGAGGCTCGAAGCACATCAAAACTTTAATTAGCGGGGGGAGAAAAATGTCCAAAGTTTCAGCTTGGGGGAGAAAAGAAAAAATAAATAAAGCAAATAACAACCCCAGGGCAAATTCTTATATCATCTGTAATGCGCAAGTGTTGTGTTTCAGTACTATTGGAAGTGAAAAGATGTTTTTCCGGGTAAATCTTTCCCTGGGTTAATTCAGGGGTGGGTTACGTCACCACGGAGCCGGAGGGAATGTTTTTCATCGTGCACTGAGCACAAAACCCACCCCAAAACCCAGCACCCGCCAGCTGCGCTCAGACATCAGGCAGCAGAAGGAGGCAAGAAATGAGACTGCTGGAAGAAAAGATCCCAGGGCAGTAGTGATGGTGCCAGCAGGGGTGGACAGCCACGTCCCAAAGCCCAGGCGCTCACCTCGTTATTGTTTAATTTATTAGGGACGGAGCCTCCGTTCCTGCCTGTTCCCTCCTTTTTCCAGATCACCAGTGAGAGGCACAGCCAGTTCTCCTCGGGAGCCCGCAGGTCACTCCCTGTATTGTCCAAATTCACTGTTGATTCCTCCCTTTGCTGCCCTTTCACAGCCCGTGAGAGGATCTTCTCATCTCTCCTGGGCTGGAGGACAAGCCTCCACCTCTCTAAAGTGCTAGAGAGGGTTTCCCTGACAAAATAATGAAAAAATAAAACAACCAGAAAAGGTTCATAGGAGGCAAATGAGCAGAAACCTTCCATTCCAGGACAGGTGAGAGTGCAGGATGATCTGGCCAAGTGTGGTGGGATGGAGATATTCTCCACTCCAGACCTTCTGCAGGTCGCCGGAGGCCAAATGTTGTCGATGAGTGTCCTCCGAGGCCAGGCAGATCCCAAGGACTAGCTCAGAATAACGTAGTTCATCCAAAAAGAGCTTAATGGCAAATGATTAAAAAGGAGCAGAGGGCCTGGCTGGGTCTCCTCAAGCATTTGCGACACTTGGAGGAAACACCAGCCTCTGAGAAGTTGGTTTGTCGCCCCTCTGCCATGGTTTCCCTCGGGTGAAGTTTCTCGTGCTGCTTCATGCCCTCGATTTGGACCTTCCTGGGACCACGTTTCTCCACGGAGAGCAAGGAGCTGGGCTTTGTGGGACCTCTGTGCTCATGGGAAGTGACCGTGTCACCCGCCCAGGCGCACGCGCACCACTCCACGGGTACGCCGCCAAACATCGGGACTCAGCAGCCTGCTGGCAACGTCTGGAGCCAGTTCTACCAAACCAGCAGGTTCTCATGCCACGTCCAACGCCATGGGTGGCAGCTCCCTTTGCACACTCACCTTTGGACCTGAAGACACTGTGGGATGTTTGCATCATGGGTGGCTCTCACCCATCCCATCCCTGAAACGCTACCTTGGAAAAACCCTGCCAGGGGCTTCCAAACTTTCCCCATGACCCCTGGAGATGCCTGGGGAGCTCGAAGGAGCCGTGGTAACATTTCTCCAGGCTGTGCACCATATCGGCCACCTCCAGTATCCCAGAGCCCCCCTCATTTCGATCCCACCAGCTCTCACCTACCAGGTCGCAGCAGCATCAGTCCTGCCCATCCCTCTCCTGCCATGGCCCGGGTGGGCACGCAGCCTCTGCAACAAGGCGTCAGCTTTTGTGGCCTTGAGCAGCATCTCC